GGTCTTAGCCAGAAATCGTCTTAGTTATCTCGGATCTTCGCAATTCAAAGGACTAGAGGAGCATTCTAAATTGGAACTTTGTGAAACGGGTCTGACGACTGATATGACTACTATTTTAGCTCGTAATAAACGAACCTATGAACGGTGACTGCAAAGGACGTGCGGGTATATGAAAGCGCAACAATCGGCCATGGCAACCTAACCAAAAATTGGTGGATGATAAAATTGAAGATATGATGACATAGGATTTTCTGTGTCATCAAAGCGTAAACGTTTTTTTTTCAGAACTGTGGCTTGGGGAATTTCCTTCCAGAATCTTGGGCGCACATAGCTCAGTATGCAAGGAATAGACATATAAATAGATTACATACTTCGACGCTGGGTGCAGTAAAAAAACTGCTGATGAGTTAGATCTCAAGCTTCTGGGATTAGTTTCCAGGCGAAAGTCACGGAAATGGAAATTAAGAAAATTACAGCAAGATAAGTTGACTAACGAAGCCATATCTAATGGGTTCCAAAACATAAGGGCATTGTGGGGACTGAAATAACTTGATGAGAAACCGCGAAGGAAAGTAGACTCACTTCTGCACGCAAGAGTTATAGATAATTAATTGAAATATAAAATTATTTTAATTTTTCTAACTGTGGTCACCCCTCGCCAGGGACTGTGAATGAAATTAAGACTCCTCATCAAAATCCGGTTTCTGCTTGTTATTTCCATGAGGAATACTCGATATACAAACCGTTGCAGTTTTCTTTTTATGACTGAGAAGATTACACACCATAGCTTATAGATTTATGCTTGAACTTTAGGAAAACGTGTCGCTTATTCACATCCTCATGTCAATGAACTGAAAACGAAAATATCCCCACTTCCGAGGACTTCTGACTTTCCTTTCATGTTGAACTTCTCCTGAACTTCGGAGGTCTGTTTACCTTTCTTAGCGGTATTTTACAACAAATACTACTATGACCACCAAGTACATTGGAATATGGCAGTATGTTTGTATGAAGCAGTAGGAGTGTACGAGCAGTGCTTTATTCTTAGATCTTCAGTGTATAAACAAATGAATGCGTTTATTTTAAAATATTTGTTCAGCCAATGTTTTTATTTTTCTTAACTTGTTTTTATAATAATTAAAACCATACTATACACACACACATAAATGCATGCCTAAATATGTACGTACGTACATCTGTATATACTTACACACATATGTATACTCTTGTACAAAATGTGATCCGATCTTTTGCTTGATAGAATCTTATCAGCAGCGCGACATGCACCAACAACCTTCCTTCCTGTCACAACGGCAATCGTACATGCAAATAGATGTGAATATGTCTGTATGTATGTTTGAATGCGTGTAATTCAAAAAGCAACTATTGCATGTGAGAAAACAATGAAAGCAAAAGTTAGGTAAAATATCACAGAAGCGGAACGATAACAATTCCGCTGGCATACAACAAACAACGGTGGCACAAGCACCGACGCAGAAGCCACAACGACGACGACAACGACGGCGGCGACGACAACTGTGCACAAAGCGTATGTTTTTATGTACGTGTATTTATGGAGTAAAATTTTTTGTTGGATTCTAGCTTGCATCCTCATATTTGACATTTGAAAACTAAGCGGCGATTGCCTGCTGTTGATAGAATTGGAAATGCCAAAATGTTGTCTTCGGAGTATAATATATATATATATATATTCCCCAGTCTATCGATCACCATTGATGGATCGTTTGTTGTAAGTTTGTTCGCGCTGCAACACAATAAACATACAATAACTAGGTGTCTCAACACAAGAAAATAGAAAAGTGAAAACACTATCAAAATAACAACAATCAATATATGGCCATGTAAACAAACTGTCGGCGATCGGAGGCTGTTAATCCGCACGATCTCTTGCGTATATCCAAAGAGCCGAAGAGGTAGTATTTGTGTGTGTGCGTGTGTGGGTGTGTTTGATTGTTGATGTGCTGCTACACACGCTAGTTTGTGGCATGAAAATGTCTCATCTCACACACCGCTAAGTGCGGCCGCAAATTGATCGACACGATCACTCCACAACTCAGCACACGTCAGCCAACAACCGGGAAGCGTGTGAGGTGAACTATTTTTAGTTGGTTTAGTTGTTGCCGCATTAACCGATGTTTCGTCAAGGTTTCTAATGGGGGGACGGCTCATCAAATCAATGACAAATGCACAATTGTACACACGATTGCTTTGTGTGGAGTAAAATCTTAGAAAAGTTGTACGCTTGTCACCAACACCCGCTCCCGATTATGATAAATATTGCCGACACACGCAATTGACAGCAAATTATCCGAAGTTCTCACATATACAGCCGCATTGTGACGTGCCGAAAGACAGCCGACGTGACCTTTCGAGGCGATTAAAAGCTGTTAACGAGCAACCGCTACTCGTTAATGGCGATTTATGCGATCTTTGACATTACTTGCACGTCGAGGCTCCCGCATTTGATGTTCGATGTGATGAGTTTGGTAGTACGAGTATACCGTTGCCGATGAAGCAATATTAAACTTACACCCCAATAATACGATCGATTCCGGTCGATTTTTGAGGTCGTATAAGCGGGCGTGCAATGGAAATGGGCGGCCATTGAGTCACGGCTGACTTGTTTACTTGTTAATTGGTGTAAAGAGTTTTAAATATTTTTACTCATTTGTTGTCGTTATTTATTTATACGTTTGGATTTACTTTATCCAAAGTTATAGCCGCTCACACATACATATACTTGTGCGTGTGTATATTGATGTATGAAAAATAAGCAAATAAGCAGCTCGTAAAAATTTGGAATGCTTTAGAAGTGTTTGTATGTGTGCTCGAGATTGTTTATCCAGAGAGCCCAAAGGAAACTCGGAATATGGACGTGAGTCAGTGCATGCTTTCGACCAAATGGGAAGTTGTTTGCAGAATTTTTTAACTCAACATAGGAATAATATCCACGAGTCTCATTGAGCAGTTGGTCGGTTGTGTCTTTGTCTTTAAATTGTAGTATTTTTACCATTTCCTCAAAACCAGATGCTCTATTCCAACTAAATTTCGACAGTGGCCATTCTTTTTTGGAGAGTTTAAGATCGTCTAGTCACCTCCAGCTCCTTTCGTTGTGTTAAGCGAAATAGACTTTACGACCAATCTTTTCTGTAAGAAAACATATCTACTGAGAGTTTAAAATTTATAAAGAGTCTCTTTATTCTCAAATTCAATCTCAATTTAGCTTATATCACTGTAACAACGACCTTCCGTGGTATTTATTGGGTTTCAGGACAACTCAGATTGTAGCGGGTGGATTTTACATGTATTCTTCAGGCGCGCCTCTCCGTCAGTTGGGCCGGAGGTGGTTAAAGCTGGGTTTGTGGTCGCCTAAAAAAGTTTGGTACAAGCTCATGCTTGGTATTTCTATTTGGCTGTATCTGAGGAAAATTCTTTTTTTTCCATTTTTAATCACCATGGCCATATTGCCGCCCGGAATGCAACACTTGGCTTCGTTAACTTAATTGAAATAAGTGAAAATTGTTGCATACGTCAAAATATCACTGTTTGCATTTATGTACATATGTATGTATCTACTCACATAGGTATGTATGCAGATCCAATGAATTTGGCTCACTTCCTCGGAATATCTGGCAAACGATCAAAAACCCAGTGTCTTTCCTGTGTATGAAAGTAAGAAAAAGTAACACAAACGTGCTCACATATATACATACAACTCTTCATACGTACATGTGTACGTATGCACATGAGTACTTACCTTATCCTGTTCCTCCAACCGTTACATGGAAGGTCATAAGGCAACACGCCCTAAATTCACCTGCCAAATGCAGCCAACAAGCCACTGTCTGACTGAATGCGTCATTGCGGCACTGGGCCGCTGGCGACGCACTGTCTGCGCTCTGTTGGACCAACTACAAAACGGAATGGAAAATCGACCTACAAATGTTGTACAATTCATTACACATGCAAAGTGTACCAACAAATATGCCAACATACACTTATGCATACATATGTACATACGTGTACGTACAAAAGCCCAGGACAACATATTTACACAAGTACATACAAACATTTAGATTTTATGCATCAAGTGCCAGTACGAGGTATGGGGCATGCAACATTCCAAGGCGCACAGTATGTCCCCAATTGCAATCGAATGCCGCCCGAATGTTTGTATGTTTGCGGCTATAAATTCGATTCCACTTAAGCTCAGTCCTCCTACCGTTTGTATACGCACTCGTAAGTATGTTGGGAGCTCCTGAAGTTATGCTGCCAAATCAAAATGCATAGCTAGGCGGGACAGCTGGCAAGTTGGGGAGCGGGCGATGGATGCGAGTCTGCTGCTGAATTTGAATTGTTTAACTCATTACAAAATGAAAATAAACAAATGCTTGCCAATTGCGTGCTCAGGGCAAAGATTTCCCTCTTTACCCTCTATGCTGGGATGAACCAACGCGTACTCGTGTGTTGATTTGTATGCAAACGCTTGTTTGATGCACTTGCGGTTCCTCAACCAATGTAGCTCATATGTATGTTTTCCAAAATGTTAGCACCCTGTAGTTGGGGCGTCTCCTCAATGTCTGGCAAAGCGGAATCTGTTTATTCTATCTTGTTGTTTTTGTTGTTGTTATGACTTTACCTCTTTGATTGCTGCCATAACATCTTGTTGCAACTGCATTTCTGTGTGCAAATGTGCTTTTATGTGGCGAAGTTGTGGCCTTCAGGCGGTCAAGAAGGGGATGTGGGAAAAGAGGCCGTGGCAGGAGAGAAGCGTAGTAACGGCAAATTAATTTCATTTAAATTCATTTACGTTATTTTAAATTAGTTTGTTCTATTTTATTTTTTGCTATAAATATTTTTCTTTTTTTATTTCATTTCATAAATAATTTTTTTTATTTATTTTTTTTTTTTTATTATTTTGCCGATGTATTCCTGGTAGATTCTTTATAATAAATATTAACTAATGTAGTACGGCGAGTTTTGGAATGAATATTTATTAGTTATTTATTTCTTTCACCCAGTCAATTTCGTCCCAATCCCCCGTTTAAATATTTTACCCAAAATATTAGAATAGGAATTCATCCAAATGCTCTCCATCGTCTCATCTTTGAAGGTTTCGCCCATCACTGCCGGCGGTATTTGAAGGCCCAATGGGTCGCACTAAATTTCTCCCACCATTTACAGGGCCTTAAAACCATAAAAAAGCATTGGTGAGAGAGTCTTTAATGCAATTAGTAAAATGCTTAGTACATACTTTGTGCGTGATTCTGTGGTTTATTGTTTTTCCTTTTGTACGCGCACCACAAATCGATTCGCCGAAAAGATATTTACAAGCGTCAGCTATTTTTGAAAATCTCAAAGTGCGAAAACATCAAAGAATTGGGGAATACAGACGTATTTACAGACAAGGGTACATCTAAATAAAAATATACAAAAGAAAATAAATCTTGGAAAATAAAAAGGAAATAAATACAAATATATTTATGTATGTATACGCGGCTATTGTATTTGGAACAAAAGATGGCAAATGCAACGCATAAAAAAATGAAATGAAATAAAGTGAAGTAAGGGCGTTGGAGTTTACGATTTTGTTTAAGGTAGTGGACTTTCAGATGTTTCTTTCATATTAAGAAGAATTTCTTATTTAGTTGGAATGGAACTCAAAGGAATTGGTGGAATCAAGCAACCTGTGCCTTTGTAAGTCCCTTTCAAAATTCTTCCAACTATTCGATAGCTGCGTCCTAATCGCTGGCATTCTTCTCAAAAAGTTGCACACACACACGCAATGACTCAACTGAGGTTGAACCGCGTACATTATGATTCGAGCTGGATGTTTCACCGTAAAAGAACGACCGATATCGATTTTGAGATGACAGAACGACTCAATCAATTTTGTTCGCTTCAATCAGTCAAAGCTTCGATCTTAAGATTATATTGACTTGCGAGATGCGATCAAAAGCGTTTTAGATGTGAGAAAACTTGGCCGACTCACGATTTTGCAGTCGGTTCTTCCGCCTAACAAATTTCAATCTGCAAGTGATCACTTTGCATGAGAAACCCAAAAAGTTTCCATTGAATCATTTTCATTAATTTACCTTTTGATTAGCAGAAATAATTTAAAAATCAGATGAAAAAGAGACCCAAGTAAATTTCAATGGAAATGAGGTTAGGTATATTCACCAACAAACAAAAACTGTATAATAATAATGAATAAACAAATCAGAAGGAAAAAAAAAACTAAATAGAAATTGTGTGTGGAAAAAAGTCACTGTTCGGTATTTTCAAAAATTCCCGACTTTTCCTCAAGAAAAGTTTAATGTTATTTTTATTTTTAAGCCTTCCCAGATCCATGAAGAACAGTCTCTGAAAATTTCAGATTGGTCCCGCCGTTTTCGTTCCTTAGCGTCACTAATATATTTATTAATAGTTTTATATATTAAGATTTCATAATATTTATTTGGCTCTTTTGCCAGTTTTGTTTTCCAGTATCTCTCATGTAAAGAATATTTCTTGTGAAGAATATAGAAATATGTATACCCCTCACTCCTTAGCATGGCATAAAGAAGCACACTCACTCATATGTGCACATCGATCAATATGTATGAATGTACCTATTATGAAGCGACCACATCACATCAGCAGCAACAACGGCAACAATAATGGAAACACCAAAGAAGTTGAAACAACAGCGATCACAACAAACTTAACGAGATGCCAAAATAGCAAACACCAAAACACCAAAACAACCAACATAAAAATAAAACACATTCACACGGAAGAGAAAAGCTCCCTCGCTTTAGCCTGCTGCCCCTGCCGTGGCTGCTGTTGCAATGCTTACGCTTGTAAACAAATTGTGTGGCGACGGAAAACTAGCCAAGGCTTCTGCCGGTCCCTTGATTTCAAGAGTACGATATTGGATTTGTAATTGTTGCTGCAGCAGTAAAATAACAAATCGTAAAAAGTTGCGTGTGGGCCACCATTGTGCCGAAGCGTACGAGTGTTTGATTCCAGATAATTGAATTTTATTGCAATTCGTTCGCAGAATTCAAAGTCGCTGAATTCAAAGTGGAGCAAAACTGTGCGTCATCTTGCGTTAAGCCAAACACTCTTGAGGATTATGCAAAGCAGCGGATGCGGGTGTAGCTACGAGTATTCGTTTTATATAAGGGACGGAAAAGTGTTATGCCAAGTATTATATTTGTTGTGAAAATCCTCTAACCTCCCAGGCTGTGGATAGGAGTCCTTGTGAACAGTTTCCCGTTAAATGCAGTTGTTTAAGCGCGCCGCTTGATTCACCATATAACTGAATTGCAACTGCCGGACGCTTGGAATCTGCCCGTCTTTTTTCCCACTATTTCCAAGTACCCTCACTTGCTAATCCTCGGCCGTTCGAACTAACGAAAACCTCATCTAAAACCTACATCTCACCAGCCCGCACGGTAGGTCTTCTCTCAACAGGGAGCAACAGATGTGAGGTTGAATGATGCATGGCAAAATGTATGAGCTCCAGTATTTTATATTGAAGTCGGGCTCGGATAATGGTTTCGTTCTAGCCCTCTTCAATAGCGCCTACAAACAAATCGAAATAAGTACAGAAGAGCGTTGCAGAGAGTTGGGATATTGAATGTAGGGAGTTGCTCGCTTAAACTCTGTGCTCACGATGAAATTGCCTATGATTGAACTTATCTGAAGCAAACTTTTATTTTCAAATAGGAAAATTCGGACACCACACAACGATGAATCTAGCAAAGTTTTAATGGATCAAATAAATGGCTGACTGAGCACTAAGTCTCCATACTTCTCACCCTTGCCTTGCCTCTGCTCCTAAATTAAAATTTTGATTATTTTGAGAAGTTCACACAAACAAATATACATCCTCTCAAGAGTTTGGCAGCTACACTCGTAGAGATGGAAGTACATTGTATTGTTTTAGGTCGAATCTTGGAATAATATTAATGAAATAATTTGAATTGCGACAATAAGTCGCCTGTACTAAGGCAGAAGCATCAGTAGAGGCAGCCGTAGGCAGCGAAGGTGTGATTGTTTATTGACACTGTGTGGATTTGTGCTTTGAATGGCGATAAACAGAATCAATTAGCATTTCGTTTCAATTTCATGCCTTCAAAGCCAAATCATGAGACGGCTGGACTGTGCTGGAAGAAATTGGGTTGATTGACTAAAACCTTGCCCACCTTCCTTGGGCAGCATTCAGTGATTCGGAATAACAAACAGGCTCTTCCGTAATCCATAATGCCACACCATTGGCCGGGTGAGGGTTATGCGTGCCAAGCTGTCTTTATTATTATTCTTTTCATTTCTTTGTTTTATTGTTTTAAAAAGTTGATTTTAATTTATTTTCGTCGAATGAAAATTAGTTCGTTGGGAGATTTATGCGGCTTAAGTAGTTGGTTGGATGTTTGTGTTGTCGTCCATGACATTTAATTGGAATTTCATATACTCGTACATATACATATACATATATACATAGTTTTCACTTTGATACCCCACTTTGCCTCGGAATAATATTATTTCAATCTCTTGAATTGTGTTTTGTTTATGTTATTTGATAAATTTTAAAATTCATTATGTTATTGTTGATGGAAAAATAATTGAAACCAAAGTGTCAGTGATTTGAAATAATAGCATACCATATGCCGTTTTTCCACAGAACTTGTAGAACCCTTAATGCATAAATATTTATTTGTCAAAAATTTTCTTCGCCTTTAGATTGGAATTTGTTTTAATAGCGAATTTTTGAGAATTTTTTTTTTTTCAAAGCTAAACTGCCAATGTTTCGACACCTTCAAAAATTTTTTAACTACAACGTGTGTAGACAACAATTTAAAGTTTCAAACAAAAAAAATAGATGCTCATAATCGTCCGATTTCTCTGATTTTAAGCAATCATAGTATAAATTGAAATCACAACCACACGGCCGCAATAGCCGAGAGTTTTGCATTTCGTTTTGTAACACCATTTGGAAAGCTAGAGTTCGTGTCCTAGTTTGACCAACAGCCCCTCTCGACAGAGAATATCAAGCCCTGCGTCCACCGACTGCCCATCGAGCGTTCGGAGGAGGCTTTGAATTAACTGCATCAATTGATTTTCGCCAAGTTTTCTTGCTCTGTTTGATCGGCGGTTAGAGACCACTTGCCGACCAGATAGCGAAGACGTGGCTTTTTCACCTCAATCTTGATCCAATTTGCACAATACATAGTTTTTTCAGCATACAATAAATAGCACCTCAATGTTACCGAGAAAATAAATAATGTATGAAATCGTAGCAACTTCACGAAGAATTTTTTTTTAGTCTCAGCGATACCTGCCTCGGAATGTGTAAGTATTTTTGAATATCTCACTCCGTGATCTTAACAATTATTTTTTCGAGTAAAAATTTTATAAGTTAAAATTTCGTACGCCAGTAGCTTTCTGCCTATATTAATATATCTTCTTCGTTCTTCTTTTTTCCTGGTGAAGACACCGCTTATCGAGTTCACAAGATGCGCGATTCATTCCTTCTTTTCGCAGTTTTACAGCAATTAGAAATACTAAGTGCAGCGAAGTCCTTCTCCACCTGCTCTTAACAATAGAGTGGAGATCTACCTCTTCATCTCTTACATCGGTACTCCAACAAAGCTGGAGTATTTTTCTCCATCCGCTCCACACGACCCTGAGAGGGTAGCTACTGTCTCATGATTCGGTGGATGTGTCAATGGCGCCGTATATCTCGTGAAGATTATCGTTCCAAAGGATGCTGTATTCACAGTTGTCATCAGATGTTGTCTGTGTAGATGCCTCCGCAGCATATAGCAGGTCGAAAATGCTGAGCGACTTTTACAGTTTATTTGTACAATAGTTCGTCGAAAGGGAACCTTACTTTCAAACTGCCTACTGGGTGCTACTGAGTAGGCCATTAACACCTGCTGGCAGCAATTATTTGAGTTGGTTTTCAAGTCAGAGATTTCTGTTGGTATTCACACTGTTCCAAAGAATGGCAAAATTGTCCACGACCTACGCTGTATACTTTTGTAGAAGCTTGTACTTTCTCTATTCAGATCTGCGGCTTGCATTATTTTCTCCTGAAATAAATTAAAGAAACCACATTATAAGGAATCACCTTGTCTGAAACCTCGTTTGGTATCGAACGGCTCCTAGAAGTTCTTACGGATTCTGACAGAGTTTCTGGTGTTGCTTAACGCCGCTTTAAGCAGCCATATAGGTTTTGGGGGGATACCGAATTAGAAATAGCGGCTGTCGCCGTGCTGTCGGTTGTTTCGAGTTTGACGGAGCTGTCGCATTTTAGAATCGTATAAAGCTTCTTTGCATCATTAAAATCTGTTCACTTTGTCACTTTAGAACTGCTGAAGCGATATCGGTCTAGATTTTTCTGAGGTTTCTGCTGTGTGTAAGAAATAA